GGCCATAAAAGCACAAAGGCGCACTGGGACAGACCTTGGCACAGTGGTTTCTTGGGTGGAATGTGCCGTAGATCTGGGTCTGTACAGTTCATCTTGAGGAGCAGACAAGACCATACAGCCAGGCATTCTGACTGTACATTCCAACAACAACTGTCCCCTTGAGTCTGGAAACAGTAAAGAGGACATTCCACACTGCTGCCAGTTCCCATGCCAATCCAAGCCAATATTGGACATCCACTGAGCGCAACATTTCAATATTTCTACAAATCCATAATCGTCCAGTCTGTTTTTCTTTTCTTAGAGATTCCTTGTCTATATAGAATCATTCCCAATTCACAAAAACACAGGATTTTCTCCCAATAAGTTTCTTTAAATACTGAGCAGCTAGCAATTCAACCCGCCTCGCAAGGTCTTTTTGCTGAGACATGTTCAGTATTAACACTCCAATATAATGGCAACACAGACAACATTTAGACCAGGGATGTCAAAGTCAAATACATCAGAGGGCCAAAAAACCCAACATGCTACAAGCTGAGGTTCGAACTGGTTTAGAGTTCAGACCTAACACAGTGTACCGCATTTTATTTAATGAGTCAATAAATAATCCAATATTTTTGTATGGTTCTGTAAGTAATTGAAAACATTTTCAACAGGCTCACAGACAAAAACAGACTTCCTTCAAAGAGAAAACACATGAACCTGAACATTCTACGAATAATCAAATATTTTCTTATGGCTCTGTGCGGCCGGTTCTAAAACTAGTCAAATCTCATCCCGGGGGCCAAGATCATTCTTTCACGGGCGGGATCTGGCCTGCGAGCCTTGACTTTGACACCCATGATTTAGACAAACCATGAGATAAAGGGTCTCTTTATTCGTCCCTCAGTGGGGAAATTTCAGTGTTGCATCACCAGTTACAGAACAATAGGAATGAAGAGCAGACACAAGTTAATTGAACAATAACTGTTTACTAGAATAAAATAAAATCTCTTATTTTAGCATAATAAAGAAGCAAGTATATAAGCTCTTGCTTTAGCATAATAAAGAAGAAAGAATTAGGTTTAAAATATCGGAAATTAGCATAATATAGAAACAATAATTAAATATAAAATCATATAATGTTAATAAACCAGATCCATATGAGGCATTGGGTGAAGTTTCTTGCTCAAGGACGGAGCTGTCCCACTATTCTCAACGGTCTCCACCCTCCAGGCTGAAGAATCCCAATTATCGATTGCATTTTGTGGCTGGATTTAACTGTATTGTTTCTTACACATACATAAATACAATAGTTATGTGTTTGTTCTGTTGAATATTGACATCAGCTATGGATTGTCAACGTCAAGTATCTCTTACACATAACAAGTCATGTCCTCAAATGTAACACGTTTTGTTCATCCATCGAGAGTATAGGCCTGCTTCATAGTTCTGATTTTCACATTTTAATTAATACCGTATTGAAGTAAATGCTTCAAATCCAGCATCTGATGTTTGTTCAAATAAAAAAAGTGACATCAAATGCAATCTGCTTCAAATTCACTTGATGCTAGATATTTGGGTATCCATAAATGTGTCAACACCGTAAGCGTACGTTGGATTTCTGATGGTGAAAGATTCAGGCCTATAGACCATGTGGTGAGATAGAACAATGTGATCGGAGCAGAGGGCAAGAGAAGTCCCAACTCTAAATGTGCCACAAAGCCAGTTCCGTCTGACAGATTTCCAAACAATGGCAACAGTCATGCATCAGAAACAATAATTACAGATGAGTGCCAGGCTTTGTAAATTGTGGCCATGGGCTGTCCGAGTTTCGTGTGAGGATCTCGCGTGTGCGCTTTGCTGCATTCACACTTTCACATTAGACTGGTGTGCGTGTGTGTGCAAATGGTAAAAGTATGAGCTTGTTAATTTCAATAAGGGACACGGCCTTGTTGTGGTTTTGGGGAGATGGGCGGGGACCTACTTGAAGTGGTCAAATAAGATCGCCAGAAATCTTTCCTCAAATTCCACCCCGCGCCGTCAACTGCTCTGGGACCGCTCTCTCACACACTCCTGTCTCCTGTCAAACAACCACCGAATAATTGTGTTATATATTCATTGATGCATTTTTTTTTTTTCAGAAATTTTTTAAACGGGTGTGGAAACGCATATAGGGTGTGTCAAAACGTTCACTGTCGAGGCAAAACAAATTCTTCAGTGTCAGGATAAGAAAGTATAAGGTCGTTGCAATAACAAAAAAATCACTTTCATATATTTTAAAGGGGAAGTCCTCAATATATGACGTGCATATTATCCGAAATCGAAAACTCGCAAAAACATTTTCAGAAGAAAAACGCTGGGATTTTGTTGTACTATATATTTCAGCTTTTGGTCTAATACAGATTCAGACTACCTTATATATCCCACATGGGGCAATTAAGTTGAGCAGCATAGGGCATAAAAACACTTATATGAAAATAAACAAAGGTTTTTTCACTTTTATTCCATTCAAAGTGAAAAACTATGTCATTAAAATGTGCTTTCAAACTGTTCCACACTTTGCACAACACTGCCCCTATACATTGACGTCCCCAGTGCAACTTGGCAGCCGAAAGCATTATCAAAAAGAAATCATATAATCACAAACGTATCATGAATTGTACAGAATGTCATGCAGTCACGTTGGAATAACAGACTTCATAGTTGCCAACCCCCTCTTTAAAAAATCCCCCGTTCTCAAATGAAAGCCAGATTGTATTAGTGGTTGATTAGTGGTATTGAAACGATAGAAGGGTGGGAACTGTTGACAAAAAAAAAATGTCTCTTTCCAATTCATCTTGACTTATTCTCGCCACACTTTAAGGCCCCCTGGAGCTGCTCACATTGATTAAGGCCGCAAACACACTTAAACACAAACACACATATGCACACACGCACAAACATACTTACAGACATACACATACGCATGCACAGACACGTGCACACACACACATACATGCACATGCTTGGACTCACACACACATAATGGTTTTTTGATGTCACATGATAAAATCCAGGCCAGACTGAAATGGAGCGCAGAAACAGAGCGATAGAATGTTGAAATGTTACTTTGTCATCTGATCGCGCAGACACAAAGGCAACACGGCTACATTTAATAATCATAAATCACCCCACATCCAAATGGAACATACATTTATAAAGTGGTAATGTAAAAAGTTATCTCTAAGATGTTCTCCAGGGGCATCATTTATCTTTTGTTTGGTTCAAATGCATCTAAACAAATCCTATATTTACTTTACTTTCGTATCTAATTGAATAATCTAAAGAAAAATCAGCTGACTAATGGATTATAAATAATGAAATCCTAATGAGGTCTATAATGGCACATAGATAAATGTAATAACCCTGTTTTAATACATAATTGAATCATAACTAAATAGATATAAAGGTTAAAGTATGCTTTTAAGGTGGAATTGGCTTGAAAGTTGTGCTCTTATCTATTCATATATTCAGGCATTACAGAAAATAAAGGGCCTCATGTTTTGAAAATATCTCCACTGCTGCTTTAGTGCTATTGTGCTGTGTTTAGTGAACACACCCAGGCAGACTGCTGTTCAGGAAGCAGATACCCTCGGCCGGGCATTGTGTCGTCGGGCCATGCCACTTTCAGACTCGCATGTGCACACAAAACCACGGCCGTCGCACCAACAACCGGCGCCCGCCTCTCATGTTTCCATGGCAATCTTCTGCAGCGATCTTCCCACGGTGCAGCGGAACCAAGTGCCCCACAGTAAAGGGCTTAGTTAGGCTCTGTAGTGGCACAGTCCTATCTTGTCAGCTGAAGAGAACGTTTGACCCACTCCTCTCGGGTCCCATACACTAATGCACTGCAAAACTTTCAAACCACAAGAACATTTAACTATGTAAGAAAATCCATCTCACAATAATGGATCTGTTTTGCTTGGTTCAATCACAAATTTTCACATGAATGCATTTTTCCCTTAAGATCAACTTTTTTAGACAGAAAAGTGAAAACGAGAGGAGCCCCCTCACTCAGCCAATCAGCTCTCAGCCCAAAAAGTCAAATAGTAACTCAGAGAGGCTCTTTCTTAGTATGCAAAAGACAACAATAAAGGCAGACTGAATTTTTGTGAAGAAATGCATTATTTGTGGAGAGGGAAAAAAATCTAGATATCCCAGATTTAATCAATACTTTCTTCAAACAAAAATAGTCAATGTCATAAGCACAATGTGTAATTTTGTTCTTAAATCATGAGAAAGACAATCAAGTATTTAACTGGAATGTGAGCCGCTTGTTCCGTCAGTAAAACTTATTTTAAGACTGTCCTAAATGCTCAAATCAAGATACATTTACCACAGAAAAGCAAAAGCCCTGTAATTAATCTTGTGACACACCAAGACATCACAGGATTTTTCAAAGCATAAAGGTATCATTGGTCTAAAAATAATGTAGTTTTTTTTTCCCAAATATTTGAATTTTACAAATGACTGAAGATGATATAAAAGTTGTGAAGCCAGACTCTCCTCACCACCACATACAGTATTGTTCCGTTACAAGGAGAAATTAAAGGAACGGGGTAAAAAGCAATGGGAGGAAAATGAAAGATCCGGAGTGGTGCTTTAATTGAGTGAGGGTGACTGTACAACAATGAGGGGAAAGAGAGAGGGAGAGAGACGGGAGAACTGGACTGGGGGCAGGAGGAGGGGAGCTGATCTGGCAACGGCACCGACTGCTGAAGTGCTATTATTTCATTGGGCCAGTGTCACAGGGAGAGAGGGAAGGAAGAGACATCAGGGAGGTGGCAGATGATTGGATGCCAGCTCTGGAGTCTCAAAACTAACCATCTTGTTAGTTTTAGCAGTTGTCATGGGCCGTTGGGGGTAAACTTTCACAGTTGACTCTCAGAAGGGACCAAGAGTGGAGAGGACTTTCAGGGACGCTGGACAGTTTGGCTTCTGTACGGGACTTAAAAAGCACGGGAAAGACGAGGCTGTTGAAGATGAAGAGACCCCACGACTACAGCTCCCCCGATTCGGATACAGACGAGTTCATTGATGTGGGACAAGAAGACGGCTACTGGTGAGGAGCAAACAAACAAGCACATACAAGTTACTGCCGTGCCAAGTGTGTAGACCCATTTAAGAATTTATGGTAATTACTATATGTATTTTACTATAAGCTATTTCCACACTAGAAAAAAATACTCAATACAATTTATGATATCACAGCATTTAATCATAAATTCTGAAAATAAATTGTAATTTTCAATCATTTTACTTTTAATGTTTTTTAATTAAGATGTTTAAGTTTTAATTTAAGATGTAATGCTCAAGAAATGCACAGTTTTGTTATGTTCATGTAGATATTTTTACTATACATACTCATATACTCATATAAGCATATAGTTTCATGGGTGCTTTATTATTTTATTCTTCATACTTCTGACAGCCCTATATAGACAGAACTTCCAAAATATCTTTACTAAATTGTATACTTTATTAAAACTCTTTTGTGGGAAGACTTTTATATGTACTTTTCCTAAAACAACTGGAGTTTGCACTAGGTTGCAATTTTATTTATTTTTTATCTCAAAGGTTTTGTCTTTCTGGCATATTTAAAGTACAAAATAGTCTACATATCCACCAATCTCTATAAAATCCTGAAAGTAAATTATATATTTTCCCAATGGTCTGTATGACTACACAGGGCCTGGAGACTTCTGCTGACAGCCGTGTCGGTTACATCACTGGCGACAAAGGAGCCAGCGGCACTTAAGTCTTGGATAAATCAAATTTGTGACATGACATGAGAGCATCCAGCATGGGCTTTTGAAGATCAGGTCCCTTCAAACATGAGAACTAAACAAAAACACGCCGCAAACTGGCAGCTTTCACTTTTGGAATCTAATAGAAGCTCAAAGTGTGTGAACCAAGAGGAGTTTCGGCACGGTGACTGTGTGCCTGAAAATGATCGGCTCGGGGCTGTGTAATCATGTGTCTCCAAGCCTTCTATAGCTCCCAAAGAGGAACAACATGTTATTTCACTGATGTCCAAAAATGCAACTTTTTCCTTATGGGTATTCTGGGTTTCCTCTGCCCAAAAAACAAACTAGATTAAAGCTATAGCGTCCGTGCCATCCTTTCGGCCCTGTGTTGTATTAGTGATAATAATAACAGTATGGAGACGAATTAAAGAAGCTCTTGTTTGTACAGTGCGGTGACTGGTTCCATGTCCCCTGGTAGCGCCTCGCAGGTTCTGGCCCGGAAAAAGCGAAGAGGGGTGAGTACCATCAGTTTTGTATAGTGGCAAAATGTGATACTTAAGCACAAATAGTACAAAAACAGGAGACAATAAATCTTAAACTTATTTTTGCTCTATAGGCGCCAATGTTTGTTTTTTTTTTTTTTTTTTTTTCAGAAAATTGAGCCTTGAAACATTATAATATAGATATGTGAATACTAAAATTAATTTTAGACATTTATAAAAGAAAAGGTTGTAAGAGAAATGTGGGGGACGTTAGTTGGAAGCCAGGTTGCTGTACAGAAAGTGCCCTGGTTTGTTGAGCAATAATCAATTGGTAAGAAATGGTAAAACGTTTTGAAAGTCCTTGGTTCTTGACATTCAACTATAACTAGAGGAGTAGAAAGTACAGTCCGTAAAGACAAATGGAGAACGATAATATGTATTCTATTCTCTACCAATAACTGCTCTCAAAAAACTTTAAAAAAAATCTTGAAATATTAAGTAGGACGACGACCACTTGTATCATTGTCAAGTACTTTTAAACGTTTCACTTTGGCGCAGTGGTTGGTAGTACAGCAAGAAGGTCCTGGGCTCGATATCACCTCCAGACGGGGCCTTTCTGTGTGGAGTTTGCATGTTCTCCCTCTGTTTGCGTAGGTTTCCTCCAGGTGCTCCGGTTTCCCCTACCACAAAAAGCATGTCAAATAGGAATGCAATATGAATCAGAAATACTTACCCAGTTTTACAGCTACATTTTGCCAATTTTCATCATTACTAATCATCAGGCGTGTATCTTGTAGATCATAGAAAAGAGGAGGAGAGACCGGATCAACCACAGCCTGTCGGAGCTCAGGAGACTCGTGCCCAGTGCCTTTGAGAAACAGGTAAATAAAGAGGAATCTCTGTTATTGTGTGAAGTGTGCTGAACTCTGTGTGATTAACTCTGTGATGACTTCTGCGCAGGGGTCTTCCAAACTGGAAAAAGCAGAAATCTTGCAGATGACTGTGGATCACCTTAAACTGCTTCACGCCATGGGAGGGAAAGGTACACTTGTTTTTAAGAATTCACTTTAGCCATAGGGTTGAATATCTTTTAGTTTGATTTAATATGATATATATCTCTCAACGACTACGCTAAAAATAAAACTTCTGACCTCCTACCTAATGCTTTGCCTCAAATATGAAAGTTGGTACATTCATATTTTTATTTATTTATCGGTGTGGAAAAAATACATCCTCATACTTTTGAATGTATGTGAATCTCTGAGTATTACAAAATATGAAAACATAAATAAAAAATAACTACATGTTTGAAAAAAATAAAATAAGAATTGACTTTAAAATATGAGCAATCAATAATGATATTCAGAATCTTTTAATTGCCATGTGCTCGATGCAAACAAGTTAAGCAGAATAAAATCAAAGGGATGCATAAATGAAAATCTATATTATTTGTTTTTTTGAAAAGTCAAATGTATCCGAGAAAAAAATGTTAGTACAACCCTAATATTAACCCTTTAGGCACCAGAGTTTTGTGCAAAATGTGGTACTAAATGGAGCCCTGATATCTAATATAGAGGACTATAAAAAGTCCAGAAATGTAGTATACAAACTGATTCATGACAAATGTATAAAAACATTCGTGGGAAGCTACACTGCTGCATAGAAAGTGTTCTGGAGTCTATTATCTTCTCGACATTATTTTAAAACATTGATTTAATCTCAAGGTATCCCAGCCTTAATTTTGAATCTAACCTGTGCACTTTTCTCCAGGTTACTTTGACGCCCGAGCACTGGCTGTGGACTACAGAACCCTGGGCTTTAGGGAGTGCGTAGGGGAGGTGGTGCGGTACCTCAGCTCCCTGGAGGGGGAGTCAGCAGACCCTATAGGCGCCCGCCTTGTGTCCCACCTCTCACACTGTGCAAGCGAGTTAGACCCCCCTCTCCTCCAGCCTGCCCCAGCCTCTGCCGTCCCATTCGCCCCTTGGCCCTGGCCTACCTTCCCTCCTCTATCTCCCGCACCTCCAGCCTCATCCTCTCCATCTTTCCACCGCCGGGACTTGGCGTTGTTAGGGGCGTTTCCTTCACCTGCGTCACTACGTCTCAACCCTCACGCTCTGGTCGCTCCCACGGCCCTGACCACGCCTATCCCCCGGGTATCCACACTCCACAGAGGAACGCAGCCTCCCCATCATAGAGTGTCCGATGTCTCACCCCGTGCAATGTCCCCGCCAACGTCTTCATCCGCCTCAGCAGCCTCCTCTTCACCCCCGACACAAGCTTCTTTTAGACCTTTTGCACCTCTGGGGTCTCCCACAGCCCAACGTAGGGGCTTATCCAGCAAATCCAGTCAAGGATGGGGGACAGAGATTGGGGCGTTCTAACAGAAAACTTTGAGGACTTGCCACTACTTTTGCAGTTAACATGGACTTGGAGAAGGATGTCGTGAATTTCAAAATGACATTTCTCTGCTGTCCTGGTGACGGCCTCACTTTTTTGGTTGGGTTCAAGTTGTTGTTGTTGTTGTGCTTGGATAATATACAGTTTGTCATTAAACTTTCCTTTAACAATGGAAACAATTATGCAACTTCAACTCGTTTAAGTTACAAGAAGGCCTGTCACAATAACACATTTAGATGAAGACATATTGTTTCAGAAAAACATTGGGATAAACGATTGAAACTTTTGTTCCACTCAAACATTTACAAAACAGCAGCATAATCTTAGTAAAGTGATTATTAGAAGATTCTTCGCCCTGCGCTGAGAAAACAAACTTAACATTTGGCCTAAATATTTTGACAATATAAATATTATTATAAAATGAATAGACAAACACAAAATTATGCTGAAGTTCAATATTTCAGACACCGATCTATTGCATGTCTTCTCACTGTAAGAAAAAAAAAATCAGTTTTGTAAGCACTAACATAATCAGAATAAAGAAATGTACATATTTGAAATCAAGCTGAGCCACATTTCAAGCATAGCAATAATAATCTATTGCACAAAACAGGTATCGGACCACTTCCCAAAAAGGCGGGCCACCACCAGGACAGTTCAGATATGCACCTTTAATGCTGGAATTTTACATTTGATACAATGTCATATAAAATGTAAGATATGTGCAGGCATTATGCAACAGTGCACTTTTTATATTATAATCAGGGCATGCTCTCAATGTTTTCATTTAGTTTTTAATGATGTCTTTTATTTTTATTAAGCCATCATTCAGTTTGAAATCAGTTGTAACTTGTGCTAGCATTGAAAAGCCATTTTAAACTATTTTTGTTTTGTCTGGTATTATTTGAGACTCATATCCAATTCAACATCCAAAACTGACCTTTTGACTGTGAAATAGTTTGTTCAATTAATTTGTCATATGTATTGTAGTACTTAAGTCATAAAGTGCCTTGATCCTTGATTCAGTGTTGTGTGCTGCATATAGTCGCTCTCTTGAAAGGGCACTATGCAACTTTTTATGTTGACCTTGTTGTAGTGATCCAGGGGCTGGAAAAGGGCAGCACGGGTGAGGATAGATTGTTGTGTTGTTTTTCAGTTGAGGGGGTCTCAAACGGTTCACACTATATCCAATCAAGATCGAAATTTCCAGTAACAGTGACTCAAGATCCACCCCAGTTTTAATGTGCGAAAGGGTTCAGAAATCTCACATATTGTTGCTATTGTATTCGTAATGCAGATGTTTTACAATCTATCAATTTACAAATCACCATGCAAAAGTGGAGCATTTCAATTCACTCAAATCTCATTTTGCATTTCACATTTTTTTGATCCGCACCAGCAGGTAATCCCCGCCATGTGTGCCTTTCGAGGGTTTATATGTGCTGCTGATCACGAGCAATGTATTGTATCAATGAAGCCCATTAGGGAAATGCTCGTGGACAAAGTTTTGCTCAGGCTCCTATTGACTTACCTTGAAAAGTAAACTCCTCTAGCTCATTTAGCGTTTTTGTCACACTCCCCATTTTGGGTTTAAAAATCTGTGGTTCTCTTTGATTATAGTGTTCATATTTTTTTCATATTGGTTTTGTAAATGATTCATAAGGATTGACCAATCCAATGCCTTCAATTGCAGAGGAAACTCTAGCTTGCCTTTGCAACGATCTTAGCAACGCATCATCTGATTTTTCGTCCTAAGCTAACCCCATCGGACAAATGCCCATATAAGGAAGGTGACTCCAGCTAGCTTATGGTCAAATCAACTTCTTTGCATTCAGCAAACGCTATGGGAGACGTCAGCACTTGGTTAGTCTCACTCCTTATACAAGTTTAATCTGTCAGCTGAGAAAACTTTCCAAACAATTGATCCTATATCATCCTAGAGGCCACTGCAATGAAAAGTTAAGGGTCCATGTTGATCCTTCTACCACTGGGTCACTATAAGGTCAAATATTAATATCTTCAAATTATAACTTTGTTCCCATAAAAAGTTGCATGAGGCCCCTTTAACTTCCATCGATACAATTGGCTAAAAGAACTGTGGTATTTGTTCCCCGCTAACTTCCCCCTCTGACTGAAGTGTCTCCATGGCGGCTGGGGGAGCGGGGGGCTGCGGTCTTGTGGTGAGAAAGCATAAACATGGTGGTATCTGCTGATGTTTTGGGGATGCCGCTGCGACGCAAACAGACTCATCACTATTGCCCTATAATTGACCAGTCCCTGTAATCAAGTACAGCCTCGTATCAGCCTGTCCTGTCCTCCACCATTCTTCCCTTTCCAATCTTGCGGTACACCAACGGATATCTTTCTGGCTCATTTTGTCTGCGGCACTGTCTTCTCAACAATGGAAAGTCAAAGGAGGAAAACAAAAAGAATGATCTGAAGATTTGTGGTTTAGATGCTGATACTGGGTAAATTAAAAGGGCAGGATCCTCAGCGAGTTGTGCAACTTCAGACAACACAACAAAAATGTGAACATCGATCAGAAAGATGAGGTGACATTTTTCGACTCAATGGGGAATTTTTATCTTTACAATAGCACTTTTTGCCATATTACAACAAAAGGTGACAATCAAAGTGGATAATTACTGTAATTGAAATAGGCACAATTCATTATAAGTTGTCTGTACATTTTGTCTAAACACAAGAACTACCCATGGCGCAAACATTCTCCCTCGGAATGAGAATTCAATTCCAAATGCATTTGAAATAAGATCATGTTGTAGTTATTTTATTAAACTGCATTATAGCCAAATTTTATACATTTCTGATCGTATGGGGAAATATATTTAAATCATCTCAAAATATCAATGATTTTTGATAGATATAATATACTGTTGTTCAATATTTACCACAACGCTTATAACCCTGTCCTTTTCTATCTGCCTATGTCTATGTCTATGATGAATATGACAGTTACAGCAAGTTGTTTCTCAAGATGGGCATAATTGTGCATTGCAGGGCCAGAATGTCTCCTCTGGGATGAAAAAGCTGAAATGAGGCCTGTGTGTTTATTACGGCTGCGTGCTTTGATCCACTTCAGGATGCAAAGTCTGTGGTTGTGGTCCCCCGCTGTGTGTGTGCTGCTAAGTGCATATTGTTTGTATGAGTGCAGGATCTGTAGGGCGAGTGTGTGATGTGAGTGCACAGGGCTGGCGACAGGACCAGGCCGCGGGGGCAGTGCACTTCTCGTGCAAGCTTGGACGGCGGTACGATGATGGAATGTTTGGCATGCTGTTCGCACACACGCGCTGGATGGGACTATTCTGGACTCTGACTGAGAACCACAATCGGTACCGCAGCTTCCAGACAGTACAGCCACAGTCACACTGTCCTGGTGCTCTCACTGGGAAAAGGCAGAGAGGTGGGGGCCCTCTGCTGGCCTTAGTGTGGAACATGCAAGTGCGATCATTCTGGTGATATCAAACAAGAGCAGAGTGTTTTTGGGAGATTCTTTCACATGATGGCGTGTGCTGAAAGCCCAGGTTTGACTTCCCACTAACGGCCCAAACACAGCAAGAGCAGTTTTTTATTAAGTTGCAAAACACTGGAATGTCTTGAAGTTTTCCTTTAGATTGGCTTTAGGTGTGCTAGAGCATAAGGCACTCACATTTATTTTGCTAGAGATTTTGCTATGAGATTAAATTCAGAATAATTTGACTTTAAATATTGTGAGAATATTATTATGCAAATAATTTCTTAAAATTATGTGAATATACTTAAAATATTATGAGAGTAATATCAAAATCCTCAGTCCAGGATTTTGATCCAGGGGTCCTGGACTGCGACTTAAACGTGCCACTTCCCAAGCTGTTGCAGAGGCAAAAACCTGGGACTGGAATTTCAGAGAATCCATGGAGCAGGACTATCGATCATGACTAGCCTTGAAGAGATTCTGGCAAGGGGGAAGAAGTTCTTTGCCATTTCATTTCATTTCATTTCATTTATTTATTTCAAACCTGCAGGTGTATACACTACCGTTCAAAAGTTTGGGGTCACCCAAGTGTTTTTCCATGAAAAGTCCCACTTATTCACCACCATACGTTGTGAGATGAATAGAAAATAGAGTCAAGACATTGACATGGTTAGAAATAATGATTTGTATTTGAAATAAGATTTGTTTTACATCCAACTTTGCTTTCGTCAAAGAATCCTCCATTTGCAGCAATTACAACATTGCACCAAAATCCAGACATTTGCGGCCAGAATAGTCATTTACTACATAAGCAATATATAGAGTGTATTTCTTTACAGTTAAGACTAGTTTAAAGTTATCTACAGTGCTTTTCCTTCCAAAATAAGGAGATTTCAATGTGACCCCCAACTTTTGAACGGTAGTGTACATACAGGAAAACAAAAATATAAAGTCTGCTTGGTTTGAAAGGGGGATGATGGAAGCCATCACCGTGCATGGTGCAGGTAGAGAGCTGCTGACCTTGACTGGGGATATCGTTGGGTGTTGGAAGAAAATCCCCATCATCACAATCTACTTCAGATGTTATGTAGCTGTTTATCGATCTTTCCCCCCTCTGGTCACACATTCACGTGTGACCAGAGGGGGGAATGTGAGATCCAGCACGAGCTCCAGTGGAGGATCAGGAGGGCCAAGAGGGCCAAGAGGGAATATGGAAAAAAGCTGGAGCAGAAGCTGGCCCAGGGTAACGCCCGCGACGTGTGGAGAGGCCTAAAGAACATCTCTGGCTGTGGACAAAGGGCCAGCGGGACAGCAGATGGAGACCATGCACCGGGCAGATGAATTTAACCAATTCTTCAACCGGTTTGATTCTTGATCTTTCAGCGGGGGCTTTGGGCAAAGTGGGGTTAAGTGTCTTGCCCAAGGACACAACAACAGCAGTCATCAGTGGGAGTCGGAGAAGGTGTGGAGGTGGGAATTGAACCCACGACCTTCAGGCCTGAAGGCCAGTGCTCTACCAACTGAGCTACTGTCCACCACTTTCCAGTTACCCTTTAATTCGGAAGAGAGGTGATAGTGAAGACACAGCAGGCGCCACAATATTTTAATTATGGAAGGACAGATTGGGAGAAATTTTGTAAGATGTGTGAGCAAAATTTTTAATCCGAAGTAGTTACTACTATATGCGTATTTTGGATCCAAAGTGTACCCAAAGAATACTTTGCATCTAAGATATGCATAATCCTACTAATTATACTGAATTACCCTTACAAATGTAAGGGAATACATTATATGTATTCTGTTACTCCCCAACACTGTATGAACAATGAGGCGTCTCACTGTTCATTTAGCTGCTTTGTACGATGGAGCTCCATTGTTTCCATTAAGAAGATGATTTCAAGATTATTCTCATAATATTTTGAGTTTATTCTCATGATATTTTGAGAATAATCTCAATGTTTCAACTTTAAAGTAAAAAAAATCTGACTTTAATCTCATAACATTTCTGTGATTTCACGTCACCGATCTGTTAAAAACATCCAAGGGTCAGGCTCACACATGGGAAGTTGCATATTTATTTTAATGGGACAGTGCACGTTAATGATCAGACATGACAGAGCATGAATGTTAACGCCAGATTGAAGCAAAATATAATTTCCACCTGTTGTCCCCTGTTGTTACCCCATGGTTTAGACGTACAGGTCTATACCAAATGGAGATTACAGCCTCTCAGTGGAAACCCAGACATCACATTTTCCATTTTGGTGACTTTGGGTGGATCTGGAATAGTGACGCCTCGCTTCAAATAGCAACGCCGCCTAGAAGAAAAAAAAAGAAATTAGCCGCATTTTAAAACTATTGTAACTTTTGTAATTTAATATGACATTACTGATACTCTTTCTCCGAGTATTCCCCAGTGACATATGTAAAAAACTGTCAGTTGGTGTCTTCACTGCAAGCTTTCTGACAGCTTTTTGCATCATCCAGCAGAATGATAGTCATGTCAGAACCTCAAAAATCAATTCCTTCATAAGTCTTGTTAAGCCAACCTGTAAAAAATTAGAGACACAATACAAAATGTTTTTTTGTTTTCTTTAAAGAGTTGTGCATTAGCTTATTTTGTGTGTAAGTCATACTCTTGTTTTGATCACAGAAGCGTGAAGGTAATCCTGATGTTGCTCCGTCATTTACAACAGTCTTCATCTCATGGAAAATTGCCTTGATGTAACACATATTGCTTGAAACACATGACAAAAAATGAGAGAATAAGTACAAATAATAATATTTTGCAAATGTAACAATTAATTTGTTACCTTTTAAATGTGAAGTAAGTACATGATGGGTGGGCGGCACACAGAGTTTGCCAGTGTTCAGGAGATGCAGCGGGAATACTTAAAAGGTTATTCCCAGGAATATTAGTGTTGGGAAAGTATTTGGTACTGCATTCTGGGGGAAACAAATCTGAAAGTCAAGTCAAAATGTTCACACAATACGGTAAATAATATTATAATGCAACAACCATTCAGGTCATATTCATGGGTTGTGCTTATCTGCAATTTGTGGGAAAAGCCAGAAACCAGGCCCTTTTTGGTTTCCACAATTGGTGTCACTGGTACGACCCAGCTAAATTTAAGGTGGCATTTGTACCTAAAAACAGAATTAAAATGCTTTTTTTTTTCTCTCAAACCATAAAGAGTGCAATCCTGCCTGGACTCACCTTATTGTTGCAGCTGAATATTTACCGTTTACCCAGGTGAAAAACTGGCAACCCAGGTCATGTGTGCAGACATCCTGACAGGCCTCAGCGTCAGCAGTGAACAGAAATTTATAGTCAGCTCCAGGAAAGTCAATGTCTGTGTATATTTGATGAAAACAGGCATCTGGTACGACACATAATACAGTCAAATATCAAACATTATCGTAATAATAACAAAATAACAAAAACATTTTAGAAACATCCACTTTACCAGAGTATTGAGGGCAGGTCTTGAGCGAATAACCGGATGTCACACCCAGAAGAGCAGTCTGTTTCGTGGGCTTTCCAGAGTCGCTCTTCTTCAGGTAACAGTAAAAGTGTAATTAAGGGGAGGAGGAAGGGTAGTTTTAAAGACAGGCCTTTTCTCACATATAAGTACCAGGAACTCTCCCTATCCAACAAGTTCCTATTTAGCCTCCCTTTAGATCCCTTTGGTTCTGTCTACACTGTAAAAAAGCCTGAAGATGGCACTAACCGGAATCAATATTAGTCGAGAGGAACAGTAGCTATTTGTCACTTGTAACATTTATCATTATGTTGGGAATAAAAACCCTTATTCAACTTTGTTAAAACATTCAATGAGAAAACACTTTGGCTAAATGTGTCAAACATAAAAATGAATTGTTAAGAAGTCTGTTAGACATTACACAGGTGTGGGTACTACTGTGCAATAGTAAATAAATCAGAGAGGAAACTAGGAATTGAAATTGAATTTAATTACCATTTATTCACTAATCTCACAAAATGATTTTTGCAAAATTAATCGCCACAATGCTTATAATTTTGCCTCAGAGATTTTGCCTGAGAAAACAAATGTTTTGTCTTGTTTTAACACTGGAAAATACTGCACACCAATAGTGAGCTGCCCTATATTATACATGTTTTACTTTAGAAGGGTACCAACTCAATGACTCAAACTAATCGATACGGGGGCGACAGTAGCTCAGTTGGTAGAGCACTGGTCTCTAGACCTAATGATCGTGGGTTCGAGTCCACCATGACCCATGTCACCTGCTCCCACTGATGTCAGCTGTCGTTGTGTCCCAGGGCAAGACACTTAACCCCACTTTGCCTGAAGCCCGCACTGAAAGACCAAGGCCATGACTTCATTGAAGGAACAGCCATCTTACTGTGGACCCACCACCTGCAGGAGGGTCAGCGAGGGACTGGTGCTTTGAATTAGGTGCAACTCTGATTGCCACCCAGAATGGGAGTCAAATCAAGGGCATGATAATGATTCATGTTTATTTTTTGGTTTTCAGCATTTGTTCATTTAAAGGGAGCCTTGGCTCTATCTACTGGAATGGTCCAAATGAATACGTTGTCACGTATTACCTACCGATTGAAGTACAATCAGATCAATCTATAAAAGGTCTATAAATGTTGGTTATTTGTAAAGGGGCTACCTTTTATCCGCGGTCCAATCAGTACGGATGAAAACAAAGAATTGGCACTCGGGGTCTTGGCTGCATAGTTGCTGACAGTGGTTCACATCTGGAGAATATACATATTTTATGTTCGTTCCATGGAAATCTGTATTCTCCAGAAGCTCCCGATGACAACCTGAGTGCAAACAGAGAGAAAAACATGTCCTGTAAGTATACAGCATGAAGGAACCATTTATTATATTGTATGTATTACATGGTGCCGTACCTTCACCAGAAGAGTTGCTGCACAAGCAGAGCAATAATACAAAGACAAATGTTCTCATCTTGAGTCCTTCACCAATGTCCTGTCTGTGCAATGCAC